AGTCGTTAATTTCAGTGAAAAGACCTCTCTGTCCGCTGGGATTGAATTTGCCCCAGTAGTAAGATTTATATGAAACCACAATGCTACAGATACTAGAAGAAGTTTTGCTCACTTCACACACACAAGTCTTTGGTGTCATCCTAGAGCGCAACTGATGTGTGCCCTGCCAGTAGTTACCTGCAGTCTCTTTTAATAACCTAAGTTATTACTATAGTTCAGATGACAGCTGTAGGATCCCTTTCCAAATGGTACCATCACGTGTCTAAACATGTGTTCTCTAAATTGGGTGCCGGTACTGGTTTTGCATAGAGTACTGCCCAAATTTTTTTCAGGAGATGAACTGCTATGTCAGTAAAACCAACTCTATCTACAAAGTGTAGATACAGAAAAGAACAGAAAAGCCTGGATGCAAAATTTTGTCAACATATAAAGGCCACTCTTGAGTACCTGCCCCTAAGCATGTACCAGATCCACCAGTTGCAAGCATTTATTCATCTGTAGGGGAAGTGTACGGGATCCCCCTCGACTTGGGTGTCGGTCTCTTCTCCCAAGTAACAAGCGATGGGACAAGAGGAAATGGCCTCAAGTTGCGCCAGAATAGGTTTAGGTTGGACATTAGGAAACATTTCTTCACCAGAAGGGTTGTCAAGCATTGGAACAAGCTGCCCAGGGAAGTGGTTGAGTCACCATCCCTGAAGGTATTTAAAAGACAGGTAGGTGTGGTGCTTAGGGACATGGTTTAGTGGTGGACTTAGTAGCATTAGGTTAACGGCTCGTCTTGATGATCTTAAAGGGGTTTTTTTCAACCTAAGTGATTCTGTGATTCTACGACTTTAGAAATGGTTTGTGTGCCAAAAGCAGGTATCTGTATTTCACCCAAACCAACACATCTCATGTCCCTGGAGAGAAAAGGCTGTTTATTATACTAAAACTAGGTATCGCAACGCTCAACATACATGTCATCAATCCGAAACGATATTGTTTCAACTGTATCCTCCTCATTCCCCACTATTCTAGCTGTGCTGCTACCAGTTTGCTTAATTTATTGTACGATATAAATTCCTTATTATCATTAGTTACTTTTTAGGTACCATAAACATTTGTAAAGCTAAGCAATAAGAAGCAAATATTATTGTGATATTATTAAAATAAGAATGGGGTGGAACAAACACATGATAATTATGAAAGATACTGGGGTATGTTTGCACAACTTGGGTGTATTTTTAGGACATGGTCTGCCTTAGTGACGGAACATACAAGACGGAAGGAATTTCTCAGTGTTACACTAAGTTCTTTTGTTGGTTTTCTAAATATTCTGGACTAAAGTCTCTCTTGCAGTCTTTCTTGTAAAACACAGAAAATATTTTCCATCCCGGGGGGGCAGGGGGGGAGGCATTGTGAGAATTACTCATCTGGTACATAGGTAATTCCTAGCAAATGAAAATGCTGCTAGTCATTGTTGATATTACCTGTTCCACACAGCTTCTGTGGCAGGACGGCTGACCACAGCCCAGTGGGTGTATCACCAGTTGTCGTGGGGGCCGCCTATATATTTTTGGACAGGCTATCAAATGAGTAGAGAAGAAAGAATTTCTAGTTTTTCTGTTTAACTGCAGCTTACATAGCACGGTTTTAATAGAAAAATGTGTCGTGTGCCTCTCGTAGCCTCGTTCTGAGCTGAAAGCACGCTGAAAAGAACTGGTTTGATGCGCGACTTCTGTTAAGCGGAGCTGACAGAAACAAGGCTTTGGCTTTAACACCAGAAATATAGGGAAAGTGAGCACCTTTGCTAGGTATCCTCCTTTATTTGCAAACACTTGGGCTGCAATTAAAACAAGGAAAGGCTTTATTATTGGCTGAGGAAAACACAGTAACATAAGTAAATAAGTGAAACATCCACACCCATCATATCTCTGGCAGTGGTTCTTTAGTTCACTTCCCTACCAAGTGGTGCCAAAGTCCAAAGAGCTAACAACCCTTTAACTCTTTGCCTCCTCCCTTTCCCCTCTGCTACGCTATTAATGGTTAATGTATGTTCAGGATGAACTTGGCTGACGTGTCTTCAACCCCGATAGGAAGTGCTATCCGATCTGGTCCACCTACCCCGGCAATAGCAATTTATTTTTATTGCCGTCATCAGGCGTCCCCCACCCCCAGCTTCAGTCCCGATTTCCACAAGTTCAGCGGAGAGCCAGCAGGAAATACCTTACTCTCGCTGTAAAACCGCCTGTGTGCCACAGCTTCGGAGCGGGCTCCTACCACGGAGGCACTGCGGCAACTTCTTCGACGAAAGCTTTAGTAGGCAAGGACCATCAGCACCCCAGATCCTTGCACAGTGGCTCCTGTTGTACCAAGGGCGTGCCCCAGTGTGGGAAGGGAACCCTTTCCTTGTCCCAGTCTTCTCAGTTTAATCTTATCTTCTACCCATCACAAGCTCACTTATACATCTAGTAGTTCCTAAGAATATTTCTTGGAGTGTTTCCGCGTAAAAAGCTTTTAGAATTATATTCTCCGCACATTTCTTCATTCGCCAAGAGTTGGCAGGAGGGTTTCTTCCTTTGAAAGGCCATTGCCCAATCTGGGGGATCCCCTTCCCAGCCTCTTCCCAGCGCCATGGCCCGTCGGCTCGGCCTTTTCACTCGCATGGGCGGGAGTCAGTGTCCTCTCTAGCTTTGCACCATCCAGTTTGTATATAGTTGAGCGACTCTAAGCAAACACATGGGACTTTCATCTACTTGTCTATTTCATCTTCACGATTAAATGTTGGTGTTTTATATCAGCTGGTAAAAGGCCAGTTTAAAAAAAAAAAAAACAAACCATATAGGTGCTTGTTATAGCAAAATGCAGCTGAGGGTCTTCTGTTGGTTATGGAACTGAGGAAGCAGTTCCCTGAGCTGCCTCCCTCCAACAGACGCAGGACTTGTAGGGCTTTCAGAGGACGCTGAACTTCACCTACGGCCGGTGACCCTTGGCAGCTGCACCACCTTCCTCCCCTTTCCCCTGACTTCTGAGGAAGGACAAACTGACGGTACGGGTTGACTTACAGGTGACATTTAATCCCCCACGGTTAGCCGGAGCCCACCGCCGCATCCCTTACACCTTTGAGAGGAGAATCGCCACCACGCACTGCCGGGCGCCTGCCGTTTTCCACCCCAGAGGCGGCCCCGTTTCAGCGCCAAACACGCGTGTTCCACCCGTGGCAGAGCGGGCTCCCCGGGGAGCGAAGGCCCCGCGCAGGCGGGGAGGTGACCGCCATGAACCGCCGCCTTTTCTGTCACGTTTTCAGCCGTCGAGGCGTGAGGCGGGCGGGGTCCG